AAGATAAAAATAAATTAAGATATCAAAGTTGTCTGTATGTTTTATTTAGGTTAGTTTCTATTGCTATGCCTTCAAGTTCATTAATATTTTCTTTGGCAATATCTAATCTTCTGCTAATCTTATATGGTATATTTTTCATCTAAGATATCATACTTTTGATATTTAGGCTTTCAATTTGTTTCTTTTTTATATCTTCCCTGTCTCTTCTGAACTTTTAAAACATAATTGAATACAATTGTGTTAACTTTTTTAATGTATTTCTCTGTTATTCTAACATCTGTGTCAGTTCTGAGTCAATTTTTATTGATTGATTATTCTCCTCATTGTGTTTTGTTGTCTTGTTGTGTCTTTGATTGGCTGCTATAAATTGTGAATTTTACCTTGCTGGGGGCTGGCTATTTTTTGTAGTCCTGTAAATTTTCTTGAGCTTTCTTCTGGGATGAAGTTAAATTACTTGGAAACAATTTGATCTTTTTTTTTTTAATCTTACTTTTATGTTTTGTTAGGCATTTTCTGGAGCACTGTTCAGTATGGCGTTAATTATTCCCCACCACTGAGGAAAGACCTTGCTGAGCACTCTCTCCAGTGCCCCAGGAATTATGAGTTTTTCCAGTCTGACTAGTGGGAACAGGTACCGTTCCTGGCACCCACTGTTCCTTCTAATCCTTTCAGATGGCCTGTTCCTCAGCCTCACCTGCGTGCACCGGTTAGTACTCTGCTGAATGCTTAAGGGGATCCGCTGCAGGTCTTTGGGATTCTCTGTCTGTGCAGCTATCTCCTCCCAGGTACTCTCTCCTGAGAATTACGGCTGATGTGGTCTCTCTGGACACCAACCTCTGTCTTTTCAACCCAAGGAGTCTTCCAGGCTCCATCTTAGTTCTCCCTCTCTGCAAGGTGGCCCAGGGTAATCATATTTATTCACTTTATTTCCAATGCCCTTCGTTGCTTGATGTCCGGTGTCTTGAAAATTGTTGTTTCATATATTTTGTGTATTTTTGCTTATTTGTTTGTTTGTTTCAAATGGGAAACAAACAGCTCGACAAGAAGCAGAAGTTGGTAGCTATAATTATTTTATTATTCGTTCAAGATATGTTTTGGGCACCTACTCAGAGCCAGGCACTTTGCTGGGTATTGGGTATACAATGGTGAACCAAAGGATATAGGGTTCTGGCCTCACAGCAAATCTGTTTTATGGTGCTCAACTTCGGTGAGGAAGCAATACATGTGCTAGTCCCTGGATTTATGAATATGGACATGAATCGGATGTGATCATTTTTCTCAAGGAATTTAGAATTGGGAGAGACTAAAAGCAAATTCGTTAATATAAAGCAGACTTTGAAAAGTGTTGTATGTAAGATACAAAGGCTCTGGGCATATAGAAGAAGAAATAAAGATGAAGAAGTAATTAATTCTGACTTGAAGTATAAGAAAAAACTTCATGGAGAAGGTGACATTTGAGTTGGGCCTTGAAGTGTTTGCATAATTTTTAATGGTGGAGAGAAGTAGAACAGAGGTGGAGATACTTAAAGTGCTTTCTTTTCTTCCTTTCTTTCTTTCTTTTTTTTTTTTTTTTTAGAGACAGTGTCTCACTCTGTTGCCCCATGCTGAAGTGCAGTGGCATGATCATAGCTAATTTTTAAATTTTTTTTTAGAGACAGGGTCTTGCTATGTTGCCCAGGCTGGTCTTGAACTCCTGGCCTCAAGCGATCCTCCTGCCTCGGCCTCCCAAAGTGCTGGGGTTACAGATGTGAGCCACTGTGCCCAGTCTCAAAGTGCTTTTAAACATGTGGCAGAAATAGCCATCCTGCTTGTTCTTCCTTGCCAACAGAACCCTAATAAAGTGCTTCAGAGGATGCTATATACAGCACTTTCCAGTCCCAGGGAACGAATTTTGATTGGTCTAAATCAGCCATGGAACGTCAATACCCCTTCCCTGTCATTGGATCAGGCATAGGCATGTGACACAATTCTGGCCACTGAGATGTGAGGTGAAGTCTGCTAGGATAGTTTTCTTCCTAATAAAGGGAAAAAACACTCCTTTTTCCCCTGCTTTGAGAGAAAAACAAAAACCCCAAATCCTGGTTCCTTGAGGATGTCCTCAAGCCATTGGAATTAACCAAACTGCAGTTGACCTAGTTTCTTGTTATATGAGATTACAATGTTTTCTTATTGTTTTAGTAACTTCCGGTTAGATTTTTGTTGTAGTTGACGATGTTACTTGTAGCCAGATGCAGCAGATCAGCATACACTAAACTGATCGATTTACCTATCTGAACCTTCCTTTTCCTTTTCCCTGGTTCAGCCCTTTGCTAAATGTTACTCCTCTTGCTCTGGTTCTTTTGCCTCATCAAGAATGGAGGTCAACCGAAGAGATGACAATGTACTTAGTCTCTCCATATATGCACATGGGGAGAAATGCAAAGCAATTTTTAAAATGAAAGAAAGCAATTATGCATGCAATACTTTGACTATTTTGTATCATCACCCTTCCTTATCCTTTAGTTGGCAGGACTCGTTGAACTCTCATGGGAGGTTGAAGGGATAAAAATAAATATAAAGGAAGAAAGTGGAGGCAAGCCCAGGGGAAATTATGTAAACTCTTCCGGATTCACAGCAGTGCTGGAATTCTCTGGTAATTCCCACAGGAGCCAAGACTACCTCTGGAACGATCTGTTGGAAACCACTCCTGTCTGGCAGAAAGCCAACTATTAACAAGAGAGCATAGGCTATGCCATCATCATTGCCGAGAGTCCAGATCAATGCCAGGGACCCAGGCGAGCCCATAGCAAAGCTGTGAATAAGCCAAGACTGTCGCACTTACTTTCCCATTCCCTTCCTAATCCTCTTTATTTTTCTAGCCCTGATCTCATTCCCTGTGCCTGCTCCCACTCCTTCTCCTCCCTCACTCAGCAATTCATATTCTGCTTGCCTGATGAGCACAGAAGGTACTGAGCCGCCTACCTCAGGACACTTGTGTTTCAGTAGGGAGCTCTTACACGCCCAAAGTAATGCTAGAAATTCTCTTTTGCTCTATTGCTAGAAATCCAAGCCTCTAGACTGGCAGTGCAGGACATGTTTGGCCTCAAGCGTAGTGCTTCTTGCTCCATGCAAAATCAGCTGAGGTGGGCTGAGGTTCCCAGGACTCACTGCCAGCCCATGGGGATGTACAGGGTCATAAGGACATTACTTCACACTCCTCTGTCCTCTGCCAGCTCACGCAGGATCTTATCCTCCTCCCATATAACCATACCCCACCGTCTAACTTATCCTACTCGCCTTCCGTCTAAGTGTAGATGTTCCTTCCTCCAAGAGGTTTTCCCTGATGGATCCCCAAGTCTGGGTCCTGTTACTTTGATATATCCCCATAATACTGAATGCTTTTCTCTCTGAGCACTTGTCATGCTGATTTGCAATTCATACATGCTCAGTAAACCAGTACCCAGTACAACCCTGATATTTAGCAGGTGCTCAGTTTATTGAATGAATAAATGAACATCTGTTCGTGCACACACATATATGTATGCATAGATGTTCACATCGACACATATATGTAGCTCTGCAGAGACCATGACTGTCTTGTTCCCGTTGTACCCTCAGCACGCAGTCCAGTGCTTAGGCTGTGGTAGGCAAACAGTAACTATTCATTAACTGATTGACATAGATATTCATAAGAAAGGTCCTTGCATCTAAGCTGCTATTGACAATGTCTTGACATCCTTATTGAAAGGGCAAGAGGCACAGCCCAGGCGTTTTTTTAGAGTATCAGGGATGGAGGTGGGAACACAGCAAGATAGAGGAAACTTCTGGGAGTCCATCTACCGAGGTCTGTGAGGGTGGGCTTCTCTCTTCAACCACGGTTTTAGTTTTCTAGGGATTCTTAATTTAGAGCTCATGGGTGGGGCTTCAGATCAGGAATCCTCTGACACTTTAATCAAACATTCGGGTCAGTAGCTGTTTGTGCATTTTTTCTGGAAAAGGGTGGTCGATGAGTTTCAAAAAGCTGTGACACGGAAAGAATTATTGCTCTAGACTTACGCCGTGCAATATACTATATGGTGCATGGTGTAAGTCTAGCCACTAGCCGCCTCTGGCTACTTAAGTTTAAATCACAATTAAAATTTCAATGCCTCAGTTACTCTAAGCTACATGTCAAGTGCTCAGTAGCCACTACCTATAGGACAGCCCAGATATACTAATAGAACATTTCCCTCATTGCAGAAAGTGCGATGGGACAGAGCTTCTCTGTACTGGCAGCAATACCGATACAATGTACAGATAAGATCTGACTCACGGAGAGCTTTTGTAAAATGAGTTGCCAACATTTAGAAATAAAAACATAAAAATCTGAATTCCTGATTTCTTTCAGGAAACAGGACTGCCAGAGCGGGGCCCGCATTCCTCCTGGCGGCTGGAACGCACACAGGACTGGCTCCCTTTGGAGGGGCCCTCCATGGCATTTGAGTTTGTGACCCGCGTTTCTAGAGGATCTCGTCCGCACTGGTCTGGTCTCTTTCCAGTCTCTTGCGTTTGTAACCAGACTTCAAATTCCGCCAAGTGCTGTTGGGTTGGGCTTTAGAGCGCATCTTAAGGCAGGGTCTGGGGCGGAGGGTCTGGGGCGGAGGGTCTGGGGCGGAGGGTCTGGGGCGGAGGGTCGGGCTCTCTGCTGGAAGTTGAGGGGGCGGCGGAGGGTGGCGCCTCTCTCCTTACAGTTCTCTGGAACTGGAGGAAGAGAAAGGGAATTCTATCCTGAACATCTGTTGCTTGACAAAGAACTTCTTCCCAGTTTTCCTCCGAGCCCTCCAGTCCCCGGCCCAGTTCGCCCGGGCCCGCCCCTAGCGACGAGATGGCGGGGAGGGGCCGAGGCGAAACCCGAGCCCCGCGCCCACCACCCGGGCTGGCGACGTGGCTCAGCGGCCCCGGCCTCCCCCGCAGCGCGGCGGCCAATGGGCGTGTGAGAGGGGCCGCCCGAAGCTCCCCAGCCCGAGGCCCGGGGCGCGCCCCTCTGCTCGGGCACGGGGCGGGCACTGGCGGAGGGGCTGGCCCGTCCCCTCCCCGCGCCGGCTCCAGCCCCGCCGCCGCGGCGCTCCGAGCCCCCATTCCCGCGCCGCCGCTCTCGCCGCTCGCTCGGTGCCACCCTCCCGGCCGCCCTCTCCACGGGACGATGGCGCGCGGTGGCCGCGCCCGCCGCCTGGGGCTCGCCCTGGGGCTGCTGCTGCTGGTGCTGGCGCCGCGGGCGCTGTGGGCCAAGCCCACGGTGCGCAAGGAGCGCGTGGTGCGGCCCGACTCGGAGCTGGGCGAGCGGCCGCCCGAGGACAACCAGAGCTTCCAGTACGACCACGAGGCCTTCCTGGGCAAGGAGGACTCCAAGACCTTCGATCAGCTCACCCCGGACGAGAGCAAGGAGAGGCTGGGGTGAGGCCGCGGCCCGGCCGCGCAGGGGCGGCGCAGGTGCCCGGGGGCCACCCGGGCGGGAGCCACGCGGGACGCCGGCGGCAAAGCGAAAGCGAAATCGCGCGCGGACCCGAAGGCGGGTCCCGCCCAGCTCTGCGCCTGGGGCGGGCAAAGTTGCCCGAGGGCGCCTGGACCCCAGCGTGGAGATCGCCGCCGCGCCCGGGTGGCTCCCCGCGGGGAGGCGAGAACGTGGCAGCGGCCGCGGGAGCCAGGACGGGCGGGGCCCGCCCCCTCCCCTCGGTTGCATCAGAAGGGAGGGCAGGGAATGTACAAAAGTAGAGTTTGTCCATAGTGGCCTTTTAATGACTTGAGTTCTAACCCGCAGTTTCTCTCTTACTCCTCATTCCCTGAGAGGGGCTTGAGACAGTTGCTAAGGAGGTCTCGAGGATGAACAGAATTGGATAAAAGAAGAAGGGGGCAGGCGAGGGAGGGGCTTGATCCTGGCCTATGCTGGGGTGTTCTTGCCTTTTGCTTAATTGCCCTGTAAATCTGGTGTAAGGATATAAAAATCCGGTTGTTAAGAAGGGAGGGGCAGTTGGGCATGAGAGACCGTGGGGGGCGAGAATGGAAACTGGTCTCCTAGTTTGTGTTTCCAGCAGATGTCTGCAAAGATAGTTCCTTGGCAACTGATTTGTTGGGGGCAAAAAGCTGAAGGGTGGCCATGCTGGTGGATTTTGAATTTCGCTGTTGAAGGCAGTTGAGTCAGGAACCAAACCTGGGAAACAAAACTTTGGTATATCCCAGTACGCCCTCCCCGGCTCCCTTGAAGAGACACTTGGGCAATGTGCAGAGTTATCTGGAAATCCTTCCAGAGGAATCAGCAGCCAACCTGGCCCCAGATGGAGTCAGGGCTGGGGAGGGACCCGGCAGCCCTGCCTGCTGGGCACCAGGGCTCCTGGAACCTGGCGCCTGGGGGTGGAGGATCTTCAGGTTCTGCTACGTTAAAAAGAACACAGCCATCCCTGTGCTCCTGGGGGCTGCCAGAGGCCAAAGTGTTTAGTTAGAAGATGAGGATAAATTATACCTATTGTGTAGGTGCACCATCTGCCTGCTCTGATAAAAAGATCTTTGAACTTCAAAGTCACCTCCTAACAATTACCTTTTATCTTGCAGAGTACTTTCTCTTCTTGTTTACGACTTAACAATGAGGGCCATTGATGAGTTCAGTCTATTGTATTGCTTGGAGGCACTTGGACACTGATTTATTCTGGGGTCCTGAGTGGCAGCCACATCGTCACTGGAGAGGAGGCAGGGGAGAGGTTTCGGGATTTGGAGTGGGGAGCTCTATAGTTTGCGATCCTGCAGCTTCCAGTTTAATGCCTTCATGGTGACAGCGTAGCCTAGTGGTGAGAACAAGTGCTGATGGAATTGGTCTGGGTTTGGGCCTTGTATCGATACCTTGACTTTATTCATTTATTCATGCAACGAACATTTGAATGGCTAACGTGTACCAGACACATCAGATACCAGGCAGGTGCAAAGATAAACCTCATGTTCTAAGCCTCAGAGTGCTTATAATCAAATGTGGAGGAGAGCGGCACAGACAGACACTGCACGATTGCTGTGATGGTGGCATGTCGTAAGGACAGTGAGCACATCCAGGAGGAGGAGCCCCTCAGGTTAGAGAGAGGGGCTTGGGGGTATGGAAATGTCACCTTATCAGAGCTTGCAGGATGATTCAGTGGTTGCCAGGTGTACAACAGAGGGAGGCATTCCCGAAGAGAGAATAGTCCGTTTATAAAGGTTGTGAAACCTGTTCTGGGGCATGAGGAGTGTTGGATCTGCAAAGGGGCAGGGAGGAAGAAGTGAGAGGCGAGAGTGGAGGGGAATCCTAGGGCAGAGCAGGGAGGACCTCCGTGAGGTGGAGATTTGAAATTATCCTGTGTGGGGTTGAAAGTCAGACTAACTGAGGCACAGCCAGGGAGACCAGGGGCAGGGGAGAGGCGATGAACGCTGAAGAGGGCATGGCCTGTCCGATGGCAGGAGAGGATGAATCCAGACACTAGCGGGAGGTGGAACTGGCAGCTTTTGCTCTCGATTCAATGCCAGAGAGAGGAGGGAGGCAGGAATCAAGGGTGACACTTGGGTCTCTGGCTTGAGCCACTGGGTGGGTGGTAGATGCACCGTTCACCTGTGAGGTGAATCCGGAGTGGAGGTGGCATGGGGGGCGTTGGAAATTATGCGTCCAGTTTGGGATGGAGCAGAGTATGAGAAGCTGCTCCTCTATTCACACTTTCTATTTCGAGAGTCCCCTCCAAGTCTGGGCTGCTGAGGGATGAGCATGGCTGGATCTAGGCAACTTTGTCACCACTACCTGACCATTGATTCTGGAAATGTGACTGCTCTAATGCTCCTAAAGATACCTAGAGCAGACGGTTGCAAAGTGGGGACCCATAGACTACATACAGTCACAAATACGCTACACTGTCTTAGGAAAAAAATGTACTTGCCAACATGTAAGATTTAAGTGATTTCACATACAGACCCCAATTTCTGGTTTCTCTTGACACCTTTGTCCCTACGTGGCAGTCATCGTCTGCAGCAGAGTTGGGCAGCCTTGCTTGGTGGGCTGGCAGGGATCTCCAAGCTGCCATAGGCCCCCTTGAGGTTTTGCTCATTTCTGCTACCTGCTGAGTGTCGAGTTTTCCACATCCACCCCTGATCTACATTATTGTCTTTAGTGGGAAAAGGCACAGGTTCTCTCTTTTATTCCTCAACATTCCTTGTGAAGTAGGTGTTCCAGTTTACAGATGGGAAACTGACACTCAGAGAGTGAAGTCACTTGCCCAAGATCACACGGATAATGGAGACCAGAGCCAGGAGGAGGACCCAGGGGTTCTGATGAAAGGGTTGGGCTTTGTCTACGTCATAGCTGCCTTTCCCAGTATCTCACTCTCGAGGTTTTTAAAGAGAGAGGTTAAGATCGTATTTATTCTTCCAAGAAATATTTATTGAGCCCCTACTATGTGTCGGGCTGAGCTATGTCTTGGATGTTTATTTGTCATAGATTAGATGCTGTCCTTTCCACGAAAGAGGGTTGTACAGTCTGTACAATCTCCCAGGTCTTTGCTGGCCTGGGATTCTGCTCCTCAGTTGGCTTTGGGTAACCCATTGGGGTGTTACCACTGTATCCCCAGGACTGGAGCAGTGCCCGGCACATAGTAGGTGGGCTGAATGTAGCACGATGTTGAAAGAGTTCTGTTGTGTCTGGTTGTGATTTTCTGGGGGGAAGCTTGAAGAGACTTGAGGTTTAGTCTTAGTCTTGAGACCTGTTCAGACTGTAGATGAAGGGACACTTTAAGGCTGTGAGAGGTGTTTACTCCTTCCTGAGAAGGAGGAGCCTGGGCTCCCCAGGTTCAGGTAGGAGGTGGAGACTTCGATTATTCACTCTGCCTCTTCTCCTGTATACCCCTCCCCAAAAAAGTTACCGGAGATTTTCTCCATCAAAGTATCCAACTGTGCTCATGAAGAAGTAATGAATTCATTTCCCGTTTTTAATTAAAGATTAACTGCCAGTCAGACCTTCTGTTGAAAAGTAAGAAAGTTCAGCCACTGAAGTTGATAGAATTCCAGTCCCGAACAAAGAAATCAATCCGTAATTAGTCTGTCTAACCTCATCCCAGGTAAATGGACTTCTACGGTGAAACTATTTTAAACATTGGAAATAGCTGTGGGTGTCTTTGAAGTTCTTCTCTACAGGGATGCTGTCCCTACCCTGGGACCATCTGGCCTAGAGATGGACAATGGTGAGTTCCTTAGCGGAGTCCAGTGGGAAATTTCCGGAACCTGGGCCAGCTGTGGAGATGGTGACACCAGTGGCTTAGGGGTCTTCACCCGGACAGCAAAGGGTTTAGGCTCCCACAGCTGCTAAGCTGGTCAAGTTTCTTCAATAGATCCATGATGTCAAGGCTCTTTCAACTCTGACATTTAGTGCTTTGTCCAACAAGATCTGGTCACCTTCCGCTTTAAGTTTCCAGTCTTTGAGTCCACAATGGTGGGATTTTGTTTTTGTTTTTGTTTTTTTGTTAAACAAAGAACTCACTCATCTTTTGGGTTACATAGAATTTTGCCCTTTTTTATTGGGCCCAGAGCCAGAAGACATGAGTTCTTACTCTGGTTGTACCGAATACTAGCTGTGTAATCTTGAAAAAGTCCTTCAATTTCTCTGGGCCTCAGTTTCCATTACTGTAAAATGAGGAAGTTGGACTACATCAGGGAAGAGTAATAGGCTTCATCTTAAGATCAGCTTGAATCAATCAGTAGTGGCCATCTTCAGAGCACTGTGCTAAGAAGAATTCTGAGGTCACCTCTAGGTTTATGGGGACAGGGGTATGATCCATCAGCAGTGGCTGCCATTGGCACCGGTTAGAGGGGAAAGCATGTCAACCGTGGAAGGATAAACTGTAAGATCCTTTCCAGTGCCATCGGATCATTGATTCCATTTTAGTTGTTTATGCATTTTTAGATCGTGCGGGTGGTTTGATCTTTGCTGGACCAGGATCACACACGCCTTGATAAGCCTTGGTAATAGCCTTGTGGGTTTTTTGTTTTTTGTTTTTTAATACAGCAAGATTGTTGATCGAATTGACAATAATGGGGATGGCTTTGTCACCACTGAGGAGCTAAAAACCTGGATCAAACGGGTGCAGAAAAGATACATCTACGACAATGTCGCTAAAGTCTGGAAGGATTATGATAGGGACAAAGATGAGAAAATTTCCTGGGAAGAATACAAACAAGCCACCTATGGTTACTACCTAGGTAAGACTTGGTGCTGCAGGAGCGATTACACAGCCAGGGCCTGGGTCACAAGCTTCCTATGGGAGACTCTCTACTCTCTTGTTGTATCTGCTCCCTTTGGGGAGATGTCACAGCCTCCTGAGTAGAACCTGCTTGTGTAACATCCTCCTCTGCTTACTTAGAATGTACTGAGTTGCTTACTCTGAGTGAAGTTATAGATAGGAGGGAGGGGGTTGTGAGAGACTAATAAAAAAATCCCTTAGGTTGCTACCCTACTTCAACTTACATCTTAGAGGCACACCGAGAAAAAAGCAGAGGGGACATGGTGTCTATGGTACAGTTTCAAATTGCTGCCTGATTTTGGATAGCAAGGATTGAGTGGGCCCGGGCAGTCAGGGAGGGCTTCCTGGAGAGGGTGCCTGGGAACTGGGTCTTGAAGAGTGAATTTATATGTGGAGAGAGGGAGGCCTGTGGGGAAGGAGGGGGAAGTGGGGTTCAGAGGAACAGGGTGAAGACCTGCTGTGTGCGTGGTAGAGATATTAATAGCAAAGAAACAGGCCCAAGGGGAACTTGTTTGCACACATGTGGCCAGAATCAGGAAGATCTGGAAAGCTTGGCAGGGGCACTTAGACAAGATGTTAGGGGTATTAGGGAGCCTCAGTGTTCTAGATCAAAGACTGATACGATGAAAGCAGAGTTCTGCGAAGAGAAGTATGGCATTAGTATGGTCTACAGCCTGTGCTCTTAACCATTTGTGGTGATGCCCCTAATAAGCCATGGGGGCCTAGATTATGGGGTGGCTTGAAGGGACAGATACTAGAGGCATTCTGAAATAAAATATTTTCAAGAACTCAGTAGGTCTTGACCTTTTGTTCCATCTGTACCATTGGGGCACGAAAGATGAGTGATCGGGAAGGAAACGCCTTTCTCAGCTGCATGGTTTAAACATTTCTGCATATGTCCTGCAGGAAACCCCGCAGAGTTGCATGATTCTCCAGATCATCAAACCTTTAAAAAGATGCTGCCACGTGACGAGAGAAGGTTCAAGGCTGCGGACCAGGATGGTGACCTGACAGCCACTCGGGAGGAGTTCACTGCCTTTCTGCACCCTGAGGAGTTTGAGCATATGAAGGAAATTGTGGTTTTGGTAAGATACATGAAGATCCTGGGTTGGGAAAAGATCAGGGAAAACACTGTCCCCAATTCTTGTCCCTTCCTCCAAAGAGAGAATATTTTTCAGCCTGAAGGGAATTGCAGAAGGACTCTGAAGCGGAATGCGTTGGAATACTGTCTACCTAGTAAATCAATCAGGGCAGGCTAGCTGCTGTAACAAATAGCCCCCAGTCATAGCCATTTAACACAGCCAAAGCTGGTTCCAGCCAGAAGGATCCCCTGGGCAGCTCTCCTCTAGGTGCTATGGGGTAGCCAGGCTATTTCCCTCTTGTGTTCCGCCATCTTGGGACTTCTCTGACACTGAGTTGCTGTCAGAGAAATATGAGATAGTGGACAATTATTAAATAAAATATGAAAGTATGTCTCACTTTTTAATGTATTATACTATATATTTAGTAATTGACTGCATGTGTCTGGCAGCACCCAGCTGGCAGACGAAGGAAAAGCGAGGGAATGGGAAGACACAGTCTGTCTCTACTGTTCTGGCCAGGAAATGACACATCCCTTGCGTCTATGTTCATGGGCCCCTCCTAAATCTGAGGAGGCTGAGAAACGCAGCTTAGATACTATCTAGAAAGAGCACGTGGGTTTAGTGAGCATCCACGCTAGTCTCTGCCCCATTTTCCAGCTTCGAGGGAATTCGAAAAAGACTGAAATAGAGTGTGTGGGGTTGTTAAAACTGTGTGGGAACTTAAGGTGAAAATCATGGCTGGAAAGGGTGCTGCCCTTGGGGGTGAGTCTTTGGAGGGGAATGGCCCAGACCCCGGGCCCTGAGGGATGACTGTGCTTGCAAGGCTTCAGAGTGCAGTTGCTCTCAGTAGTGTCTTGTGGGGTCCCAAATGTCTCCATTTTCCATGACCGTTAAATAAATGCCATCACTTGTTTCCTGGGAAGATGCCCTCAGCCGGTTCCACCTGCTTTAATGCTGGGAAACAGGTGCTCAAGCTTTTGTTTATAATCAGCTCTGGGTGACTGTAGTCATCCACTTGGTGTTCGGTGCCACTCTTGCCTCATGCTTCATCCTCGTGACCACCATGACCCTAAGGACTGGACACTGGTGCCAAGAATACTTTCTCTTTACCACCCAGCATCCACTTAGTGATAGTTAATTTGCAGAGGACAGCGCAGGTGGAGAATTAGCCACAAGTGGATCACGTACCTTTGGGATTGGCTCTCTGCTCTCAGGTGGGCCATGTTCTTCGACCCAGGATGCCTTCGAGCTGCTCTGCCAACGGACTGTAAACTCATTTAATTACTGACCCTGGCAAAAAACCTCATTAAGTCAAATATATTAAATATACAGTATAATACATTAATAAGTCAGCTATACTTTTATATTTTAATTGTCTACTGTTTCATATTTCTCTGACAGCAGCTCAGTGCTCATAGTCCAGTTAGCACTGGACTTTATTTTTGTGATCATCTCATCTAGTGGTTCTCACACTGGGTTCCTCGCAGATCCCCCTGGGGTATTTTGGCTGGATGGTGGAGCTGGGTGGTCTGGTGGGGCTTGTGATATAATCAGAGCACTTCTGGGTTTACAGGTACATTTTCTTTTGAAGAGAATGTTCTGCTCTTGAAATTGTGGGGTGGGGAAGTAGGGAGAGAAACCACTGGCTGTTTTTTACAGATAAGAAACTAATGCCTAGGGAGGTAGGGAGACGAGCCAGAAGTCCCCAAGCATTCAGCCATAAAAGCGGGACAAAGGAGGACAATAGCATTCTCAGACTTAGAACACACAGCCATCTTGCATTCTGTTTTCCCCTTTGCTTCCTAGGAAACTCTGGAGGACATTGACAAGAACGGGGATGGGTTTGTGGATCAGGATGAGTATATTGGTGAGTGCTTGCTCAGCTGTCCCAACTGGGCCAGATTCCTACACCCACATGTCTGGCTACTTTCCCCAGACGTCTCTTTTAACAACAGCTGCAAGTTTGTAAGTGTCACTCCTGTGCAATTCCAGTGGGGAGGCCTTCCAGCCCATCTGTCACATCAGCCCTAGCAGTGCAGTATCAGGAAAGCATTATTAGACCTCCTTCAGTGGAGAAGAGATGAAGAGGGTAGCCCTGCCACTAGGCTGGCCAGCAGTTGGCCCCACGGCTCTGAGAGGTACCCTTCATGACACTGCCTAGTTTTACTTTTGCACAGTGGGGTTGGCAATCCCTTAGATTTACAGGGAAGACAGAGCAGACAGTGTCGGGGAAAGAATCTCTGAGTAGATGCAGCTATGATCAACAGACCTGCTTATGTGCCCAGCTCTCTGCAGAAAGGCATTCTTCTTAGATAAATGCTTTTACAAAGTGCATGACTGCCCAGTTATGTGGCCGTTTTGTGCCTCTAGTTTTCCATCCTGTAGTTGGGAGTGCCATACCTAGAATTTGTTCTGAAGGGCTTCACTTAAGCAACAGCAAGAAGTGTGTTTTCAGGAATCTGCGAGCTCTGGCTGGCTGAGAGTCAACTCAATACACTTGGGTCAGAACCCACCACGGCTTGTGAGAGCCCTTCCCAGCAGCCCACTAGCCCCTCCAGCCTCCCATGCAGAAAGGACTGAAGCGTCAGGCAACAAGGAAATTTCCATTCGATCTTTGCCAGCTGCTAAGGCACAGGGCTCCAACGACAGGCTGCCTTCTCACGACAGCTGTTCGTTTCCCAAGTCTCAATAAAGTAAAAGCTGGAAAGTCATTTGATTTGGGTGTTCACCTAGGAAAAGAGGGATGGGATATAGCTTTTGTACACATCTTTAATGTGTACAAGGCAGTTAATTAGGCAGTTAATTACCTTTAAATGTAAAACCAGAGCCCGAGTTGCCATCAGCCTCTGGTTTTGTGGTTGTCTTATTTTGCCACCCCAGGATGAGAGCAAGGGCCTTCAGTAATGAAGAGCAAAGTTTCTTCTAATCGTTAGAAATTATGTTTGATCCTGAGAACTGAACGCTGTTCCCTGTCTGTCGTTGGTAACAGACAGGTAGCTCTCACTGTAGTAATTAAAGTGATCTTGGCGGCACTACCTTTGGAGAATAACAGATGCTGACAGCTCCCTCGTCCGAGCAAGCAGCAGAGCCTTCCTCTCACTGGGTGCACGTGCGAGCGAAGCGTTCAAAGCTGGGGACGTCTCGCCGTGACGGTGGGGATGAAATGAGACTGACGGCAAAGGCTGCCTGATTGAAACAAACAATGCAGCGCTTTTGACTAAGAGTGTGTGCTCCGCCTGGCCCTCCTGAACTCTGCATTGAAATGGTGCTAAGTCAGGAGCAGAACTCTTTGCATGGCTTTGCCTAAAACAAGCGTTGCATTCTTTATGCTGGTCAGAGAGGGAGGCGGGGGCATTGTGCTTGAAAATCAAATGCCGAATGACTTGCAGCCAGAGAGACCCGATGTATCGACTTGTCATTTCTAGGGGAGCCTTCTGTTCAGGCGGGGACGAGTGGAAAACTGGTGGTGGTGTGGTAGTAGGAAAGGCACTGGAATTAGAGGCCCTGGCTTCTCCACTCCTCCTGGGGGAGTCATGTAATCGCTCTATGCCTCAGTTTCGTCATCTGTAAAATGGGAATAAATAGCACCCATCCTCGCAGGGTTGGATGTGGTTTGAATTAGTTAATAAACGGGACAGCTCTTTGTCAAAAAACTATGTGCATGTGTGAGCTGTGGGGCTGTCCTGCAGCTACCTTGTAGCCAAGGGTCTTCCCCCTCTTTTTCCTTCCTTCACTACCTGCTCCTTCACCACTTGGCATTTCCAAGCTCCCATTGAAGAGAAACTGCCCACAGGGTACCTGTCTTTTCCAAGAAGACCTAGTGATGAAACACACAATGCATAAACACTGTTTTCTTTGTCCTTTCCTTGCCATTTTGTTCAGTGGGAATAATGGCCCATCTTACAGAATTGTTATAAGGATAAAATAAAATGACATATGTGAAAGCTCTTTGGAAATTATATAAACAATAATAATAATAAACACAGTGTTAGTTAAGACCATGGGTTGAAAGCAGAGTGCCCATGTTCCTGTCTAGCTGTGTGGGTCATTAGGTAAACCTTTGCCTCAGTGTTTTCATCTGTAAAATGAGAGTAATAACAGTACCTACTTCATAAAGTAGTTGTGTGAAATTCAAATGAAAAAGTGTGTGTAAAGTACTTTATACGGTATCTGGATAATAGAAAGTGCTCAGTGTTGGTCATTATTATTAGTTTTCACTTATATAGTGCCAGTTTGGGTTGTAGAAGGCTTTTACATAAATGGCCTATTTGATCTTCATAATAACCCTGTGATTTATCCATTTTTATCTCCATTTTACAGATAAGGAAACTTAAGGTTTACTGAACTAAGTAACTTAATCCCACTTGCTGAACTAAGTCAAAAGCCGGGATTCATCCTCTGGCCCCTAAGCACAGGTCTTTCTGTTCTACCACGTGGCCTTCACAGGGGATACACTATTGCACTATCATCCCCAAGAACTGCTCACTGTTTGAGTTAGGTCTTGACTGGGCATCACCTTTCCAAACTCAGGAGGCCAAGTGTTTTGGTTTTTACCTTCTCATTTCATAACCAAGAACAACCTTCCTTTCTAGCGGATATGTTTTCCCACGAGGAGAACGGCCCTGAGCCGGACTGGGTTGTGTCAGAACGGGAGCAGTTTAACGAATTCCGGGATCTGAACAAGGACGGGAAGTTGGACAAAGATGAGATTCGCCACTGGATCCTCCCTCAAGATTATGACCACGCACAGGCGGAGGCCAGGCACCTGGTGTATGAGTCAGACAAAGACAAGGTATTTCACGTTCTTCTGGAATCACTGATGGAAGGGAGACCATTTATATAAGACTGGTTTTGTTTGCATTTTTTGGTGGTAACATTGGCCTGTTGGCCATATCCTTACTGATTTTTCATTCTTGCCCTACAGTAGAGACCTGTAAACTTAAGCCAATACCCTGATAACCCAACCCACAGTGAGGTCATTAGGCCCAGGCATTCCTGGGTAGTCTGATATGCGCCGCAGATTTACATTAAGTCACGTCTCCTAGGATTGGAGAACCAGTAACGTAGATGTGGACAGGACATGGATTTAAGAAGTATATCCTACATTGCCCTAGGACTACGTTATTTATCCAAGTAAATAAATTTAGAAAAAAGTTCTGCCTCTTCCCCACTTGGCTAATTGTCCCAGATTCTCAGGTTATGTGGTTAGGCCACAAAAGGGAAGTGGAATTCCTCAGGGCCTGTTTTGGAAATACCAACCCTGCTTGTAGACACGAGTGGATTCTAGTGTCTGGATTACTCAGGGGCCTCATGTGATGTATGTTAGCACAGCTTTTATAGCAGGAGGTTGTTCCGGTGTGGAGTTTTGCGGCGCAGTAATGGCAGATGAAGAAGGTACCCAGCAGCTTCTGAATTATTAAAGGTAGTATTGAAAGCGCTGCACATCAGTGAAATAACACGAGCATCACGCTGAGTTACTACAGTTATCAGAGCTTCAATGACAGCCTCTCTCCTCTCTTCTACAGGATGAGAAGCTAACTAAAGAGGAGATCTTGGAGAACTGGAACATGTTTGTTGGAAGCCAAGCTACCAATTATGGGGAAGATCTCACAAAAAATCATGATGAACTTTGATAGACACTCTCCATAACATGGCAGACTGTCATAGGCTTTCCTTTATTGTCTTGGGTGGTTGCTATAATTGTCTAATTTACAGCAGTTGTGTTCTCCAAAAAGCAAGTTTATACCTCAGATTGGGGTATAAAAGTTGTTTTTCACTCAAGTGTTTACTGGGAAATTGTCATCACTATTCTTTCAGTAAGATTTCTCTCAAAACACATTAAAATCTTGGTAGATTGCAGTTCTCTGTGGGGAAACATTTTTACAACATGACTTTTTAAGTTTTTTTCCATTAAAGTAAAGGAGGATAAAACTTGAAAAAGCTCTGTTGTTCAGAAGTTGGGTGGGTTGGGGGACAGTATACGAATGACTGCTATGTATTTTAACTACCGGATTTTTTATATTTGCCACTGTTAAATAGTTGGTAAGGGAAAGTTCTGATTGAGCTAAAGCGTTAGCCTAGCAGCTTATTTCAGAGCAAGTCTGATATTTCAGATTCTTCCTTCTTGACTTCATACTCTGAGCTGTTACTGTGCGTTTTTCCGTATGGACCTGCTAATGTGCACAATAAATCCACATCTTTGTTTTTTTTTTGTTTTTATAAGAAGAAGCAATCAAGAAAGATAATGTGAAAAAGAAAGGAACTTAGAGGTAGGAGAAAGAATGTCAGACACTTGAACAACTATAGGAAAATGATAAATACTTTAAATAAACTTGAGAAAATTTTCTTGACATGCAAATGAGGTGGTTCTGATCTTTGAAATAGCGAATAGAAATGCCGTCTGTTTCCTCGATGATCACCGACTGGAATGAAGTGGTGGGATGTAGTGGGATTCTGGAACGACACCTTCCAGTCCAGTGAATCCATAACCCTCGGACCTGCCCCTGGAATAGCTTATACTATGGAATTAGGACAAGGTGATCTTCTGAGCCATCGGCTGAACTGGCAAAAACAACTGTTACAGATTGAAATTTCACCTTGTAAGTAGGAAGTGAATGAAATAAAGCATCTTCCTGAGGATTTTCTACAGTGTCTTGTGGTGTTTGACTTCACAGATACCATTTGTGGCATCATTATTGATACAGAATTAAACTGTGGGATTGGATTCCATGCATAAGATTATAAAGGTTCTGGTTTTTTAAGTCCAGTTGCTAGAATGTTCAGAATATACTCATATTTACTAATTTAATAAATATATATACTTAATGTCTTTTCTTTATGCAGTTAGGGAATCTGCAGGTCAACTGTAAGATCTTCCTGAGACAGGTTCCCGTTGGAAAACCCAGACTTCTTACCGGGCCTACGGGGCCCTATAGAGGTAGGCCTGTAGGATCTGGTCCCTACCTGCCTCATCAGCATCATCCTTACCACACTTCCCACCCTACCCCCAATATTCTAGCCCCACTGACTTTCTTCCTAGTCCTCAAACAGCATGGTCATCCCCAGATTGGGCCCTTTGCACTTGCTATCCCCTGAGATTCAGAATACCCATCTCTTACCTCCTTGGGTAACTCCTGCTGCCTCCTCAATGCGGCCTTCCAGATCCCACTATTTAAAGTAATCCCGACTTGAATCCCTCTCTCCTGTCCTCATTTTATTTTCTTCTTGGTACACATTACCATTTCTATTCATTTCCTATGGCTTCTGTACAAATTACCATGAAGTGGGTGGTTTACAGTGACAGAAATGTACTCTCACAGTCTGGAGGCTGGAGTCTGAAATCAAGGTGTCAGCGGGCCTGCACGCCTTCTGAAAGCTCAGGGGAGAACCTTCCTTGTTTCTTCCAGCTTCTGGTGAGTTCTGGGAGTTCCTTGGCTTGTGGCTGCATCACTGCACTGTACCATCTCTGCCCCTGTCTTCACAGGGCCTTTTCCTCCTTCCTCTGTGTCTCTCCTCAGCATGTCTCTTGTAAGGAAAACTGCCATTGGATTTAGGGGCCCCTTGGATAATCCAAGATGATGTCATCTTGAGATCTGCAAGACCCTTTTTCCAAATAAGGTCACATGCACAAGTTCCAGGGGCAGAAGGTAGACATATCTTTTGGGGGGCCTGCATTCAAGCTAACCTGCTGCACTACTTGACATTACCCACCCCACCCCACCCCCAAGCTAGCATAGAAATTTAATGAGAGCTGTAGTCTGGTTTCTCTGAATTACTCCTGTTTCCCAGGGCCTAGAACAGTAGAGTCTAGCATACAGTAAGTGCTCAGTAATTATTTGCTGAATGAATGGGAGGTTGATGGCTTTAATCAAAGGGAGTATCTCTCAGGGGAAAAAAAATAATTCTGTAAAAAAATTGAAAAATAGCTAACATTTACTGAATAGGAAGTTGAGCAATTTGCCCAAGATTCCAGTGATCAAATGGCAAGGCCAGAACTCAACTCCAGGTGTTACTACTCCAAAATCTCTTCTGTTTAGAATTAAGTTGTACAGCTCCAAATTTCTGAATTTCTCTACTTCTTTGTTCACCCACAGCATATGATTATGTGGTCAGGAAATGGGAATAACTCCTCTTACCTAGAAATAGGCCGATGCTTTTTCTTTTTAAGCAATGAGAATCCATTTTTTAAAACATGAGAAAATAATATTGTGTAACCTGATTATAAGCATAACACTTTTAAATAGGTGCTAACATTATTTTTCCCCCCAGAAGAGAATATTGGTTGATTTATTACGTTACACATAGTAAGACATTAGATGTATTTGGAGCATTAAGTTTTTCCTTTCAAGTCAGTGCACATAAGAAGAGTAACCCTCAAAGAGACTAGAGCTTCTGGGGCTGAATTTAACACTATTTAAAGAAAGAAAACCCTAGCTAGGGGACATAACTGTTAACATGGTGATTTGTAAAACCTTAGATTTCTAATAAGGTCTGACTGTTTCAAGGAAAACATATTTTGTTTCTAGGTAACATTTCAAGTCTGATTATGAACAAATGCTACAAAATTGATCTGTAATGGGAAATACTGTAATGTCACAAAGCATTATTTAATGCTTAATGTGACTAAGAGCATTAATTGCTAGGAGCCATAGTCTGTCCAAGCAAAACATGAACACACATTTTGTACCTCTTGTCTCTTACTGTAAGTTTTCGAATGAATTCGAGTGTGACAAAAATGTAGTTAGAAAACCTGCGATACCTGAAGGTTTTCCTCCCCTGCTTGGATTACCGTAGTTGTTCCCTTGTTAGCAAATGCACGAGTCATGTCTGCTCAGAAGTGCCCAGCAAATAGTAGCTATGTGGCTACTTGTTAGCAGCTCAGCTGAAACATCTTGTGGACTGAAACAGAATGGCTGATGGGATTTTTTTGTCTTTTAGTCCACCTAGATTTATTTTGCCACTTTTATAATAAAATACCAGTTTCCTCCGAGATCATGCAATTGAGATTTGGCTCTCTCTGTAGTCTTATAATGATGTTTTTAGTGCTGGAATTTCCCACTAAAAACCAATGAGTGCCATGATTTTCGCTGCTTTAGCTCACGTTGAAGTATTAAACATTTGAGCACTGGAAAAAGTATGTCATCTAAGTTCTTAAACTCATGAGGATTTGCATGAACTTGGCGCTATTTCCAAATAAGCCAACCCCACTCTCAATTCTGGTCAGTCCCAGGGTCTGTGGCTGGGGACACATAGTGTAGGTATCATGTGTCCCACCACCCCGTGTGCTTTGAGCACCTCTGTAATTTCTCTCATATAAAATACAAAATGCACAGAAGCACATCAAAGAAAATGAGTGTAAGGATTAGCTACTTCCCTACCTTGAAGGTGTTTGTGTAGTGGGTGCACATAAGCATTTCATTTCTCCTAGGATAAATACCAATAGCTGTGTGCCAGGCACTACGCCAACTACTTGCACACATTTCTCATGTAACACTCCCAACAGCCCTAGGAGGCTGGTACTTGGTAAGAGAGAGGGGATAAGCTGGGTTTTGCTGCAGTACCAGAGAAACTGAACATCTCAGTGGTTTAAAGCAACAGAGGTTGAATTTTCGCTTTTGCAAAACCAGCTGTAGCCTGGGCCAATTGTCCGTGGCAGCTGTGCTGTTGGGGGTCAGCAGGGCATCTCCACATGCACCCATACCCACTGGAAAGCCAGACACAGGCAACCAAATGTGGCCTCCTGAAAGCGACCCCTGCCACGCATGCTCACTGACATTGGGCAAAGCAAGTCACATGGCCACATCTAACTTCAAGGGAGCAGGGAAATGCAATCCTACTCTTGTTGCTCAACAGGTAGGTTGGAAACACCATCACCAGTGGCACTCATGGGTACCAGAGTATTGTTTTCCCCATCTTACAAATCAGGGAACTATAAGGGCAAGTAATACCCAAAGTCACATAACTCTTAAATTAGGTAACTAGGCCAGGCACAGTGGCTCATGCCTGTAATCATAGCACTCTGGGAGGCTGAGGCAGGAAGATCACTTGAGCTCAGGAGTTCCAGACCAGCCTGAGCAAGAGTGAGACCCCATCTCTACTAAAAATAAAAAACTTAGCTGGGCATCATGGGGCACACTTGTAGTCCCAGCTACTCACAGGCTGAGGCAGGAGGATTGCGTGAGCCCAGGAGTTTGAGGTTGCAGTGAGCTAGGATGATACCACTGCACTCTATGTAGGACGACAGAGTGAGACTCTGTCTCAAAACATTAAATAAATAAATGGACTACATAATTGATTGTCCAGACCAGGACACCTTTGCCAATGAAAGGAGGCAGCTTTAATCAATATCTTCCTAAATCCGAGCAATCAGCCCTGCCCACTTTGGGGTTCAGAAAGACCCATTCCACTCTTTCTTTGGCTATGCTTCTCCCCAGGGGCCAAAGGGTTTTGCTAACTCAGAGTGCCTCTCCCTTCTAGACCATGCTCCAAGTCCCCATAAGACCCCGGAATTCCCTGCCCAAGTGACCCAAGCCTCTTGCAGAACTTGGGTTGTCTTGTTCCCCAGGTACATCTTTCAAAGGGCAGGCAACATGGCAGGTATATGCACCTCTAGTCCCAAAGGATGGCCAATGGGCAGCTATTGAAGGTCGACTCAGTTTGGACATGCAGGTCAGGATATCCACACATTGCCATGGTTTGAACATATGTGTCCCCCTTAATTCATATGCTGGAACCTAAGACCCAGTGCAATAGTACTCAGAGGGCTTTAGGAGGTGATTAATTCAAGAGCTCTGCCTTCATGAGTGGGATTAGTGCCCTTGTAAAAGGACTCGAGGGAACTAGCTGGGCTCCTTTTTTACCCTTCCCCCCTCCTGCCACATGAGGGCACAGCAGCAAGGCACCATCTTGGAAGCAGAGAGCAGCCCTCGCCAACTACTAAACCTGCCAGGGCCCTGATCTTGGACCGCCAGCCCATGTGAGAAATGAAATCCTAGTCTTTATGAGTTAAAAAGTATTGGGGGAGGGTCTGCCATGATGCTGGGACCGCCAGGACTTTCCTAGGTGAAGAGAGACATGCGATTCCGCTACTTAGGAATGGCAGATGCAGGATACAAATCCAGATCTCTTTAATGGTGGACCCCACTCTCATAGCCACCCCACTTCATTGTCTCCTGTTTAAGAGACTCTCGATGAAACCACACTACTATAACC